AAGCTGATTGCGAACTTGCCACTGCCTGTCTAACTCGGTCGTCGATGTAGCTAGCACTGGCCTGTAGCTGTTGTTGCTCCATGATGGACCAAAATGTACGCATGTCTCGTGAAGAGTGCTTGCTACAACTGATTTCAATACTCTTTTCTTCCCTTTAATATACAGATCCCACGCCCCGTTACACAACTTAACAGGGTATGCGTTGCTCGAATTCCTAAGACAATAGTTTCCCGTTATTCTCCTAAGCCCGGGAAACAGATATGTCGTTGTCTTGTGCTATCTGTAAGAGCTGACGATATGATTGCCGCGGAAGATGTTTTAAACTGTTATTGGCTCGCTCGAATTGCTTGTACGAGTTCGCGCTGGGAGTGTTGTTACGTTTAGCTGGTAGTAATGGAATATTTTGTTGTTTGACAAAGTCGGATAAAAATGATTTTTTTCAATCGTCTAAAGTCCGATAAGATAGGACAACGTTGTGGTTTTGTTTTCGTATTCATGTCTCTATTTATATATAGGTTTTGGTTTTCATTTTTTCTCAAAGGTTTTTATTTTTTTTATTTTTTTTCAAAGCTTCAGGGGGGACTGAGGTTTTCCGAGAAGTAGGGAAGTCCCGGGGAAGTCCCTCTTTGGTTTTGGGGTCATGAGTTCTGGTTCGGGAGGTCACGAGTTCTGGGGGAAGTCCGTTTCTGGAGCAGGGGGTTGATCCAGAACTTGCCTTGGCATATAACTGGTTATTCATATTTAAGTCGCAAAAGGCTTATTGATTGCTGACGGCAACAATGCTTTCTCCAGCAATGCACCGACAGTACGTTTCAGACGTGGTTGCATATAAACATGACTCCCGTTGACCACGCCAATATGGGATGGGGCTTCATGAATCGATTCTTTTCTTGAAACTCGTAGATATCAAGACAGGTGTCTGAGGGAAGAGAACTATGGATGTGTCTGTTCAATAATTCCTTGAGTAAAATGGTTGGATGTTGTGTATCTACCGGTACAATTTGTGCAATCTACATTTCCACAATTGGAGTAGGGCCTATTTGTAATTTCAAAAGTTAGTGAAACTCCATTTGGATGTATTTACAGTGGAACACTGTTACCTCAAAGCCCTTGAACAATTCCACCTTATTATGTACCTTATATTACCAGTAATACAAATGGAAAACAACAACAAGGACCTGGGACCTCAAATTTTTGTATTATCCGTGTTCTACTATAGTCTTAATCAGTGACAATCTTCTCAATTGCCCCAATGCTCATGGGCCATACACGTTTAGTGATGCACTCAGAACCAATGGACAAACGTTTACATCAAAGAACTCATTAGCCGTGGGTTATCGGGTAGTTTAGCTTCAAATTAAGGAGTGTAGATGTACGAAGTACGTGTGCCATTGATGCATTTTGTGTGACCGGGAGGTTATAAACCAGTATGTTTAACACCGACTAATGGGTCATGTGATGATAATTGATTTACTCGAATTAGCCAGCTCCAGCTAAGCCGCTCAATTTGGATTTTTTGCATTTTTTTCTGGCTAGGGGAGGCCCTGGCTGTAAAATGACTAAACCAGGTTTTTCAGCATGTACAGGGGTAGGATATGATAAGTAGTCGTGGAATTTGGACAAAAAAATTAAATGTTAATTAGCTCCAATGCACTCGCCAAAGAGGCCGTTCCGTCTACCGAGGGTTCTTTCGAGTACCAAAATGTACCAAGAGTCAAGTTTTTCCAAAGGTCATCAAATACAGCCGTAATATTGTGTGGTTGAAATCTTTCTAAAAATTCGTGCTATACATCCAAGATGGAAAAATCTAGTTAAGAAAAGAAGCAAAATAAGTAACGTAATAACTAAGGTCATGAAAAAAACCTATTCCAAGTTTATAAAGATATGAACAGAAACTAAAAGAAGAGGAAATGATTCATTAAACCCAAAACCCATTGTGGCTCTCAACTTGTTTTGTTCCTGGGTACAGGAAATCCGTACATTAAAGTTATAGTATGCAGTAGGTAATTGTCTTCTTCATTACAAAAAAATTGTCGAAAATTTCCAATCCAGTCACCTTTCAAAAAACATGCATTGACTGTTACGGGCACATATAGGCCTGTATACTGGAACTCGGTGAAGTATCGCAGGTGTGTGTCATCGATTTGTCCTGATGAAGCTAAATAAAAAAAAAATAAAAAATTACCACTAACCAAAGTTTTTCAAGATGTTTCAAAAGACAAAGATCATATGTTTTATTCACTGCGCTCGGGAATCTATCAGTTGTAACAGACGATACTTACTTGACAAACCAAAGTTGGGCACCTTTGACTTGGTTACCACTAGCCAAAGTCTTTCAAGATGTTTCAAAAGACAAAGATCATATGTGTTTATTCAATACGCTTGGAATCTATCGGTTGTAACAGACGGTGCTTACTTAACAAACCAAAGTTTGTGCACCTTTGACTGAAACCTTTGAACGTTATAACTAATCGTGTATTCATGCTAAAACGTTTGTTCATTTGCGGCATGGGCCACTATC